TCGTCCAAGCAGTCACTGCAGGGTCAGCAATGACTAAGCGCAGACCAAAAAAAAAAATCTGCTTAACCACTGTGTTTAGCACCTGAAAACCTGTTCCATGATTCTTTAACTTCAGAAGCTCAGCAGCCAGGAAAAAGGATGAGGCCTTCTAGATAATAGCACCCTGTCTTATTCCCCCAGAAATCCCAATTCATTCCTCCTCTCTTGGTCATCAGTGCAGATATTTCTGTTACATCTGACTTTGGGACTTATTTTCTTGATGTTGCAGCTTAGCATGTTGCTCTTCCCTCTTGTTTTAACTCTTTGCTTATTAACTGCAGTTTGTGTTATTTGGTATGCTCTGTATTGTGGCTGGCTGCCTTGAGGGCTTGTCATTCAGAGCTTAGGTGTATAATGTTTAAATGAATTATTTAAATACAAGTACTAAGTGCTTGACCTGGGGAAAATGAAACAAGCTAATACCAACCCAAGAGGTCAACTGGGGCCCTAAAAGCTCCCTTGGGTCAACTTTGACTCCTGATGACTATCATCAATTCAACAGGGAAGGCACACGAGGCATGCTCACACCCAATTCAGGGCAAAATAAATCTGCTTTTGATCCTCCAGATTAGTACAGTAGTTTAATCCCAAGGCACGTAACACTGGAGACATCCTGAGGTTTTATGGATTGCATCTAATTAGCCACTCCAAGTGACCAAAAAGCTCCCAATAGCCTTCCCCTTGCAGATTCTCAGCCAACCTCCCACTCTGCTCCAGAAAGTTAAGAGGCCCTCAGGAGTAGGTCTGAAGGAACATCCGCTGCTGGAAGGGAGGACAACATGGAAAATGTCACTGTACAAGCAGAAGCCCATTTGCCTCCTGAATTTCACCCACTACCTGTAAGACCCCTTTTGGAGATTGCCAAACGATAGGATGAGGTTAATGGGCTAGACAGGAACTATGACTTACTAAGGCGATAACTGCCTGCTTCCGGATCGCATCCTCCTCCTCCTTTAGCTGCCTGTGGAAGGGAAAGAAATCTTTAAGTGAAATAGAAGAAGATATTTTCTCCATAGCCTTGGTATTTATTAAAGAGAGCAAAAGGAGTTCCAGCATATCATTCTTTGAAAGAACCCTTTCTAAAGATCCATTCTCACAAAGGGAAGCTCTTTTGCTCTGCATTTCCCAAGTTACCCAGTTGGGTGGCAAATCCCAAAGAATAGCCCAATTCTGAGTGGCCAATGTGCCCAGTGAGCCAAAAGAGTTGACACCAGAAAGCTGAAACAGTGCTGCATATTAATTTCAGAAGCTTTAGTGAGCATGACTGGACATTAAGAAATGTTGACTGATGCTTTTGTTGGATTCAGTATGATGGAGATGAGTTGGGATTGTCCTTGGCCTTGCTTAACTTTGTACCAACATTACGATTCTGCCTCCAACCTAGGGTTGGATAGGGTATAGCTCTGAGTCTTCCTTCTCTGTCCTATCTCTTCTCCATCCTCCTTTTGCGTATGTGTGTCAGGAGAATCCTTCGCTTCCATCTCTTGGCCAGCAGGATTGTTCTACTAGCAGATGCCACTTCACAGATCTCTGGGATTTGTGTCTCACCTTGACCCTCTTCTGCCAGTAGAAAGTTACAAGTACACTCAGTTGCAGAATCTCTACAGTTATGAAACAACTGTTGAAGGGTAACGTTCATTGAAGGTAGTGAAAATTAATTTTTAGTAAACCTGCATAAGAGTGGAGTGTACCTGTGGGATTCCTTACTTATTTGGACCAATAGAAGCTATTATCTGTTCACATTTCCTGTGGTGCTAGTCTCCTGTATCCATGCCTCAGAACTACAGTGCAAACAGACCCAAGGAGGCCAGAGTCTTGTTGCTGGTAGACAGAATCCCACTGGATCTTTTTTGCTTCTTCCTACAGTACAGAGGGAGATCCTGAGGGCTGGATTATAACAAGCATCTTCTGATTTTATCACTTTTACTCCTATGCAGCAAGTCTGTGTTTTTCTCATCCCTTTTTAATTAACTCCATTCACATATATGTGGCAAATACTGATATAGCTGTCTGTACCATATTTTATCAGACTCTCTTAAAAAAATTATTATCTCTATACAAATGAGGATTTCTGTGACCTTCAAAATGTGGTCTCTCATGTATAAAAAGACAAATACAACCGTGATTACTCTGGAATATAATTATGGGAATGAAGCTTACAGTATAAGATTCTCACAGTATTGCTGCCGTAAACAAATATTGTCCCTTAATGGGTTTCTTGTATGGGCTGGGGGAAAAAAATGGAGCACAGTAAGGGGATTCCACAAGGAACCTTCAGGCTGCTTCCAGATCAGTGCTGCACCGGCCCACTCCTTTGTCTCTCTTTGGCAGGTGAATTAATTTATTTCTGGCATAACAGCCGTACTTCCCAAATCACACTAAACTCAACTTCCCTCTTGAGATACTGAAGGCCACAATGGCTGGTTCCACTGGAAGGAGCACTCACGTCCCCTAGGCTTCCAGGTCCTGGGCTCAACACAGTGAGCTGCAGCATCTTCCCAAGATCCTCTACTTTCTTTTCTTTTTAAAGTAATTTTTATTGTAAGAAGATTTTACATAAGTTTAAAAAACTACAGAAACATAAAAAAAGAAGTAGGAAAAGAAAAGAAAAGGGAGAAAGATAACAAAAGAGAAAGAAAAGAAAGATATCTAAAGAAGCGACTTCCAATCTTCTTTGCAGCAGTTACAAACATAATAATTGCCATCTCCAGCCTCCCAAATTACATATCATTGTTCCCTACATATCCCTGTTCCAATAAACAGGTCTTTTTAATCAATAAATTCCAAAATCACCAGTTCATTTTTATCCATTTTCAGCAAAAAGGATAAAACCCATAAAGCGTTTCCAGTTTTTTATAAAAGTAGAAGTACTTTTAAAAGTACTCTTAAATGCAGAAAAGAGTGTAAAAAAAAATCATGTAAAAAAAGGGCAGGACTTTGATCGCACAGTTGTGGCTGCCATCTTGACTTTTCTAAAACCTTCCTCCCCCCCCCCCCCACCCACACCCTAGCAAATGCCCCTGCCAAGCTCATGTGTCCAAGCTGTACTAAATTATGGAGAAGGATGGGTGGGACATTGTTGGAATACCTTTTTAAAAAATTTGGCACTCTGGTCAGTCGGGGAGAGAGCTCTGATTGGCTCATGTTCTCAGTGTTTCAAGGCTGGCAGCAGCTAAAATGACTGTGGGTCATTTTCAAGACACTTTGGAGAGGCACATCTTTATATCTGTATGCAACTTACTTCTCCAGTATTTCCCAAACTCGCTTTTTCATCTGCAGTTCTTCAATGGCCAAAGCAACTCTCTGTCTGACTATCTGAATGATTGATGAGAGAAACAGGTGAGGGAATTAGATACAAATTAGGGGGCACTGAATGATTTGAGCAAAGTAATCCGGCATGATTAGGTGACTGTATTCTCCAAAGATGGGATGGAGTCTTGAATGATACCAGAATTGCAAACCTTTCAACCTAAATAGAGGGACAACTGTTGAGTTAGGAGAACTTGTTCTTTCTGTGGGCTAGAACCACAACCTCAACCTCAACCCTGTTGAGCAGAGTACAGTGGTGCTCCCGGAAACCCTTTGCCCAGGGAAAAAATACACACCAGCATGAGAGGTTTGCAAACTGCAATGTC